CATTGAATAGTATGACTGCATTCACCTTGTTTCCTCTCTTCTCTCTCTATTTTAACGAGATGATGTCCCATCCTTTTGCCTGACTTTCTGAATTTTAAGGAGAAATCACAGCTAAATGATTGAATGGTTAACTGCCAAATAACCTTTCTTTAAATTTGCAGAACCAGAAAGTCTTCTGATCTTCAGATTATATTATAATATGTAACATCCTGTTTATTCTTCAGCTCCATATATCAACTGCCCCAACATGTGAGAATTTCCACAAGGTTTACCTTGCAGAAATGTATCTTTTTAAATAATGACAAGAGCTAGCCCCAGGAGGTCAAAATCCTTGATGGTGTTCTAGCCTAATAACAAAGAAGGAACCACATGCTCTGAATTATGAAGACGCCATCCAGGACACAGTGTTCCTCCTCAGTGCCTTATGTACCTCATGTACTTCATGTACCTGTGTTTCCCAAGATGGAACTTGGAAGATCTTAGATGAGACCCTTATCTTCTCTGGATACTGGCCCCTGAATAAAACTGAAATACATTTTAGGAGATGGGCAATGCCGAGAGCACAGAAATGGAGGGAGGAGACAGGTGAGCAAATGTAGTCATTATCTTCATAGATGAACTATATAACTTGAGGGTAGGAACAGGAGGGGAAAATGGGGGAGAAATAAAGAAAAGATGACATTGACCAAGAAACACTATACTGATAACCTTATTTATGGAATTGTAACCTCTTTGTGCATCTACAGAACAAGGAGAAGGAGGAGGAAGAGGAGGAGGAGTTAGAGGAGGAGGAGGAAACATAAATGACAAGTAAAAATACAAACAAACTGACTTCCTTTCTACCAACTCACCTCTCTTGAGTATTAGATTTCAAATGGCAAGCAACTGGACCTGGGCCTAGTTACAATTTCCCATAACATAAAAAAAATACTGTTGATTAACAAAATTGGAGGATTAACAGTAGCTCATTAGCTGGAATGGGAAGCACTCTATATCTGCTCTCATTCCCATTTATCTCAGGGCCCTAACAGATTAAATTAGATATGGCTACATAAAAGTGGAGCTTGACTAGCTCATACCCTGGAGACATAAGTTTCTAATGTAATGGATCCCCAAAGAGAAAAGATGAAGATTCACTTTGAAGGGTGAAATGGTCTATGTTGATACTTAAGATGAAGGATACTTGTACCCTAACCTTCTAGAACTATCCTTCTAGCCAAATGTCTTTGTTAAAAAGTGCTTAGTCTCCTTGATCTCAGATATACCATTGTTTCAATGGGGACGATTTTTTTTTTTTGGGTCCAGTCGTGGGGCCTGAACTCTGGGCCTGGGCGCTGTCCCTCAGCTCTTCAGCTCAAGGCTAGCGCTCTACCACTTGAGCCACAGTGCCACTTCTGGCTTTTTTCTTTTTTGCTTATGTGGTGCTGATGAATCGAACCCAGGGCCTCAGGCATGCATGCAAGGCAAGCGCTCTACCACTGAGCCACTTTCCCAGCCCCTTGTTAATAATTTTTAAATAGCTTAAAATGCACCCTATATCAAGAAATAACCTAAGTTCAGGAGAAATTATATATTAATTCCTATTTCCTAATCAGTAAGTTCTTTGAAAACTAATATCCATGATGAAATATAGTCTTCTTCTTCTTCTTTTTAAATCTGATCGAGTCTTTCCCCTGTTCAAAGTGCTTCTGAGCTTCCCATTACTGTAGGGATAAAGAGTAAAATATTTTATATGGTCTTCTGTGCCCTGTATATGATTCAGCAAGAGTATGTCTGGAAAACCTCACCTGGTAGTAACCAGCCCAGTTTCCCACGTTCTAGTATCTCTCCTTTGATTTCCTAGACTTTGAGGATGATTTTCCTGGCTCTGAACCTTTGTGTAAGTATTCTCTCTGCCTATAACCCTCTTTTGATCTACAGTTCACCACGATTTCAATTCAGAGACCTGGGTTGTTCAAAAGGCTTCTCTGGCCTCCTGGGGAACCAGGCCTCAATAATACCCTCTCTCAGAACCCTGCTCTTCTTTTCTTACCATGGAAAAAAACAATGTTAACGATAAGCTGTTTTTAATGAGATGTCTATGCATATGCTCATTTGATCAATATAAATCAGATGTCTGTAATAGGCAGAACACTCTATTGTATTTTGCATAAGCCATGATTGTTCAATTTCTAACACTGGGAAAATTGTTCAGCAGTATTTGTTTAATGAATGAATTAGTGCAACAGTTCTAGGGGAGGAAGTCATGAAGGAGAGCTTGAAGGATTATTTCCTAAGAGACATAGGGATTTGTGTTGAAGGGTAAAAATCAATGCCCTTATAACTGAACAGTGTACAGGAGTCTAAGTGACCTGAGTAATGGAAGTTAGATTTAATAACCAGAGTTGAATAAATCTCAAAGACAGAATCGCTAGTTCTCAGCTCTAGCTGAATATACTAGAAAGAACACCTTAAAAACACCAAGCCTTCTACTTCAGATATTCTGATTTATTAAAGTTTCAGCATAGGGGCTGTTTCTCTCTCTCTCTCTTTCTCTCTCTCTCTCTCCTTCCCTCCTCCCTCTTTCCCTTTCTTCTTCTTTTCCTCCCTCTCTTCCTCCTTTAAATTTTTTTTTCTTGTCTTCACCAGCTTTCCAGGTTTCTAACCTGCTATCATTGTTAAAAACACAGATCTAGCAGGATTTGGGGAGGATTTGCTTGAGGTCAAACAACCATTTAATTTCAAAATCAGGACTAAACTCTAAGCCTCCTGACTCCTAGACTTTGAACTTCCCAGTCACCTGGGAATAGAACTAAAGGTAGAGTACATGTTGATCTCAACTAGAGCAAGCAGAAATTGAAGGGGAGAGGAAATCAATTACAATTAATAGGTTTCTTGGGAAAACTTGGAAGAAGCATATCTTTTATGTCTGAACAAAGAAGCATCTTAGAGTCATTAAGTCATTCCCAGAACTAGATAAAGATTAACTAACTGAATGCTTCCATAGGTTAGCTTTTGTGTAGTTTACATTGCCTCAAATAAATATAGATGTTTGTTTTCCTCAATTTCAAATGTTCTGGTATGCTACAGCTACGCTGCTTCATAAAATCCAAGAAGTTAAGCTAGAAGGGATTTTCATGGTCCTGGAGCCTTGTGATTTCTGCAGTTCATAAAATATCCACCTAAGAAATCTTAGAGTGACCAAGAGTCCTAGACTTCCAGACTTATTTATATAATTAGCTATTAGAGTATTCATTCATTCAAGAAAAGACTCCACAAACTGGTGGACAAATACATTCATCAATGTATCATATTTGTTCACTTTTATATTTCTAAGACTTTCAAGTAACAAACATTTATCTACAAACTTGGTACTGTGGGAAAGCAAAATGGTGCAAATCACAGTGATAAGTTTGGGAACCCTCATTCCAATCCAAACTGACTGACTTCTAAGGAACACAGATATGCCATGAACTTGGGGCCAAATTCAGGGATTAATGCCAAAGAATAAGAACCTTTCCGTGGTGTTCTTTGCTAGATAAACCCTTTACTTCTGCATTCTTAACTCTCTTACTCATTGTTACCCACCATGAACAGATCACTTAAAAGTCAATAGTCTTCTCTTTGGGCCAATGTAATTTTGACCTAAGCAAAAAACCCAAACCAGAAGAAATGCCAAGGAAGAAGAAAGACTAGGAAGGAAAAAAAGAATGGATGGAGATACTTAGATATAATTATACTTATCCCCATCCTAAGGCATGTAGAAGGGACCTTTAGATTATCTGGACTAAAGGAACATGCTTGCATATATTTCTTTATGCCACCAAAACAAAGAGATAATACACAGGAAATAGTGGTAATTAACTGTCTCTCCCAACTGTTAGGATAGAACAGTATCTATACTCTAAACATGTTAAAAAAGACCACTTAACTGTGAGAGGAAGGATTGGAAATAATGCTTCTGAGGAAACGGAGAAATATGGTGGGAGAGAATGTCATTACTTAGCTTGGGGTTCTTTGCTCTGCTCTTTCTCTGTATTGCATACTATCTCCAGTCTAATCTACCTCAGGGTATTTGCTTCTTGACTGCAGGAAGTTTATCTTTTCTTTCTGCCCAAACTGTACCTTTTCCTAGCCTATTATGAGTTATTCCTATATCCCACATACGGAAAAAAAATCTTCACTCACTCCTCCTTGCTTGCAAAATTTTTCCTCGTGTTTTTCTTTCTTCCCATTATGCCTGCCTCATGTTGGTGGACTACTTTTAATCCACCAAAACAAAATTTTTACAAGTCCATAAACTAAGCTCACAACCATCCCTATACTGGCTGAATACATATTTGTGTGTGTGTGAATGTGTGTGTGTGTTCAAAAGTACTCATTAGAGTGTAGATTCTATGACAATCAAAGGGTTTGCTGTCCCTAGCAGCAGAGTTTTACATCTACTACACACCTCTCACTGGCCTTCTTTCTCACTCCAGTTATCTAAAGGACACCATAGAATGGCAGATTTACAGCAGCAAGAAGAGCTCCGAGGTGATTTACTCCCACCTACCACCCACTCTGGCACCCTATTCCACAAGCTTCAACAAGTGCTCACACAGCTGAGCCATTATTGCCTATGCACTTATACCGACAGTACACACACAGGAAAAGGCAGACCAGAGTGCTGTCTGTCTTTCCCTAACAAACCAGACAGAGATGGACACAGAACACTGTTTTTCTCTTTAGAACAAGCTTTTGAACATCCTACTACATAGAACTGGTCTTCTTTGGAAATTATAAGAAATTCACATAGGTAGAGTGTTATAAATAGCAAGAACTCTTTTTCAAAAAAATTTTTTTGTGAGAAAATCCACAGCTTTCTGAACAAATATTCTCTTACTCGTTAGACTCCACCTCTGGGCCCCACAACTTCTGGAGTCAGGGAGACCTTTTCTGGATAGCATAGGTCGAGTCTCCAGCACAATCACCCCATACTACTATTATAATCTCCCTTTGTCCCTTTGGAGAAGAATCACCTGTAGGAGCTTCTGTTCCAGGATGGTGTTATCGCGAGAACTTGTGCGGTTGCCATCCCGGAACTTGAGGGGGCGGTAGACACAGCACGCGGTGAAGCAGATCATGTAGAGGATGTACAAGGCGCCCAGCACACAGAAGTAGGGCCGCCCATATTTCTTCCACTTGAGGCTCACCAGCTCCTTCACTGGGGTCTGCTCTAGGATTTGGCGAGCCTGCAGTGGGGTGATGGACATATTAAGGAGTATTGGTGTTCCCCAGTGTGTCTATTCAGTTAATCACTCCTTTCTTGTACAGATATCTAGCCAGACATCTATGCTAGCCTCTGTGTTAGTATCACAGAGAAACTATTTCAGAACACAACACAGGGTACATCCATCATGAAGGTCTTAACAGATGAAGTAGTACAGAGTTAGGAAAGACCAGTCCATGAAATCATGCAGTCAGCAGACTAGGAAGTTATCAGAGGTCACTGCCCATTTGTAGTTCAGGTGTGGTTGGGAATATGAGAGAAATTATTGGGCATGGAGAATATAAGTTACAATGGGAAATGAAAGCCAGATCATTGTGTACCATAGATGCCAATGTAGGGAGCTGAATTCTTTTTTTTTTTCTTTCTGAATTTGATGGAAAGCCATTGGGAAATCCAAACGGAGACATAGTCCCTGTTGCTCTAAAATGACTGTTAGGTGAGAGAAAATCAGCACAGCAAGTAATATAATATGGCAATGAGCTGAGCAGGTGGGCCAGGGCTCTGGCATAAGTAGACACAGCTAGAGGTTAAGGTATATATGAAAGAGGATGATAGAAAGGATGAGGCATCTAGAAATTAGAAAAAAGACAGATGTAAAGCAAAGCTGAAGAGATTAACTATTAGCAGAAATAAATAGCTTTCCTAATGAAGCTCAATGAGCAATTTCTAGACACTCTTGATAGTTCCGGACAGGAAGTTGAGGTAGTCCCAGCCAAAGAGACTCATTTTGCCATAAAATAGAAGTCTGGCTACTCTACTGAAACTAAGGATGGAGATAGCAAGGGAAAGCAAGAGGGGGGCCAGCCAGGCAGTGTTATAGAAGAGGAAAATAGCTGACACCAGATGTGTGGAACTCACACAAGAATATTGAGGACTACCTGAGGGCAATGACCAAGGAAACTTGCTCACAAAATCTGCAGAAGAAGGGTGCTTAACACCTAAGAAAATCTGTCCAAAGCTCATCTGTTTCCAGATTATCTCTAAAGAGGCACACACAAACTAGCTCAGCTTCTCTTGTCACCAGGATTAACAATTCTCCATGCTTCCTGGATCTGTAAGCCTTCTTAGGAAACTGTCATGTAGATAAGCAGCAAAAACTATTATTTCACCAGTAGCTTGGACAATTCTGAAATCCAGAAGCATTTTCTGACCCTTTTTCCTTCCTTCTTTCCTCCCTTCCCTTCCCTTCCCTCTTTCTTTTCTTTCTTTCTCTTCTTTCCATCCTCCTTCTTTTCTTTTTCTTTGTTTCCTCTCATTTTTCTGTCTTCTTTTATTTTTTAATTTTTATGTTTGAGAGAGAGGCCATGCAACCAAGTCTGGCCTCAAACTTACAACCCTCTTGTTTCGTTCGGCCTCCTGAGGGCTGAGATTACAGGCCAAACCACCACATTCAGCTAGTTCTTTCTTTTTTTCCCTATAGTTCTTAACAAAATTTCCTCTCCCTCCTATTATACAGGCCAGCACTGTATGAATGGTCTATTTCTTATTTCCTCTCTGCAAAGCTCTCTTTCCTTCTCATCTTCCCAGTGACTCCCTACTAAAGTTCCAGTTGGACTACTTCTTCAATAACTTTTTTTTTGCTATATCTAAGCCAATGTGACCCCCCCCCCCCGCCACCTTCACTGTGCTTACCCTGTATGTAGTAATAGATCCCTGTTGTGGTACAGTTGTACTACAATTATTAAGGACAGTGACCAGAAACTAGGAAGTGGACTGTGTTTTATTCACTTACATATTCATAATTTCTTGTGTAGTATCTGGGACACAGCAATATGCTGAAGAGGGAAGGAAAAAGGATTGGACAGAGGGAGGGAGAAGAGCAGGGCTGGGCAAAGGGAAAAAGGAGAGTGGTCCAGTAGATGGGTGTTGGGTAGTCTTTCTCCCCACAGACCTCAAGAGACCGTTTTCTTCTCTTCCTATTGCAAGACAGAATTGTCTGACCCCAAAGGTCCTAGCATAGGGACAAGGTCTGTGTTGAATACCAAGTCTCTTGGATGAATGCCCTTGACCCTCATTGACTTCAATACCTCACGCTTCTTGGAGGAGACCACGAGCTCCAGAAAGGACAACTCTTCTCTCCAAGAGTCGATCTCTGTGAGGTCATAGAGGGTGGAGGTCAGCGGCCCATACGTCCACTGGATGTGCTTCCGCTTCTGCATCAGGTGCTGGAACATCTGACAGCAAGTGGGATGGTCAGGAGTCACAGGTACACGCCACGCCCCAGTCCAGGAGGACCAAGGAGAGAAGGTGGTAGTCTTAATGGCCACCTCTTGGAAGGGCAGAAGAGCCTAGGTTTATCCCTCCCCATCACTCTCTCTAGAGCCTGGAGAGAGGGGAGGAGCAAGAGGGCCACAGTTCTACACTGGGCATTGCAGACAGCTTCAGCACGGGCTGTAGACTGCGTAAGCTGCCAACACTTCCGTGAGATACATTGGGCAAAGAAAGAAACAGGGACAAGGGACAAGAGAAGAGACAACTCCCAATCTGGGCTGGGAATGGCACCAAGGTGTCAAGGAGGAGTGTTTGCCTCTGCTTCCTGCAACTTCTCACCACAGTGTTGCCCTCCACTCCGGCCAGCTTGAAGGGGGTGAGGCCCTGGTGGTTGGGCACCAGCTCCAAGGACTGCAGGTGGTCCCCTCCATCATAAGACAGCAGCAGGTTGTACATCTGGCAGGCAAAGGTTTTGTTGGGCTGCAGGATGAGGATGTGAAGCACTGTGTTTCCTGGGGGAAGAGAGAGGCAGACTGTGGCCTCAGGCCCAAAGTCCTACTCTTTGCCCAAGTCAGCGGTGCCCCTCCCCCATACACTCCTGCAGCATCCCACACCCCACCTAATCCCCACTCTTACCCAGGGAGTCCTGGGCCCGAATGTCAGCTCCATGCTCAATGAGCAGCCGGACGATCTCCTCACTGCCCACACAGGCAGCAAAGGACAGCGGGTGCTCTCCTGGGAACACAGAGGCCGCTGGGTCAGGGATGGCAGATCCCAGGACAAGAAGGACATTCTGCCTGGGTGACTTCCTCCCCTTCCCCTATCTCAGCTGAGAGGAGCCAGAGGAAGGGACAGTGCAGAGGTCCTGAGGAGGAGGGGCCTCTGGCCTTAAGTCCTAGAAGGGCTGCCCCTCCCAGTGTCCCAACAGACAGAGCTCTCTTCTGGCACAGCTCTCTTTTGCCTAGCCTGCCTTTGCCCCTGCCCAGCTCTCTGCAGCTCTTCACCTCCCCTTCCTGCCAGCGAGGCCCTGGCTCTCACCATAGTAGATGAGGTTGTGGGGGCTGAGGTGGAAGGCAAAGCCTGTAGCTCTGGCAGAGACGCTGGCCCCTCGGGCAAGCAGGGCGCGCACCAGGTTCACGTTCTGGTTCATGACAGCGATGTGCAGTGCAGTCTGACCTGGCCCAGAGAGAGCCATGAGTCACAGGTCTGTTATTTCCCCACTTCCTTAGGTACACAATACCCCCAGAACCCTGCATGGCTCCCTGGCAGCTCCTCACAGAAACAATGGTAATAGGTTCCACCAAGTAGCCAGAGATTGAGGGTTCTTAGTCCTTCTGACTGACCAGCCCACACCCTCACACCTTGTGAGAGCTCACAGAGCCACTTAGCATAACTAAGTGCTTGATAGAACTTAGTATGCAGTATAACTAAGTACCCTGTGACACTAGGCCAGAAAGAGATACAGAAAGATGCCCTCAAGGATGTGAAAGGATCTCCCGAAAGTGTGAAAGCGCTAATGGAATTCAAGGATGCTAAAAAGCCAACACCAAGACTCTTACATTTGTCCCAACTCATAGATAACAAACTGTTCTTCCTGACCTTCCACCTCTTTCCCCTAGCTCATGCATCACAGGTCCCGTTGCAGATGACGCCTCACCTTCCCATCCCTGTTTTTGCCTTGAATAGCGAACAGTACAGTCCCCTCACCTACAAATGGTTCACACACAATAGGCTCTGTGACGAGATCGGGTGCAGCCTCCATCAGCGCCATCGCGGCCTCCAGGTTGTCGTAGAGGGCAGCTATGTGCAACGCTGTCTCCCCCAAGGCTCCTAGAACAGGACACAACCCAGATCCTAAGCACTCACTGCAGACGCTCACAGAAGAGGCTCCTCGCTCCAGGAGCATCTCTAAGGCCCCATTTGGCAAAGACCTTCAAGTCCTGGGCTGGGGGACAGAGCCTTCCATCCATACTTCTATCCATTAAACTCTGATCTTACCTCTTTGTTGAAAATCACACTTTGGGTCTAGTAGAAGCCTCTTAAGGGTACACAAGTCATGTTCCTTGGCTGCTCGAAGCAGTGGGGCTTCCCAGATCCTGGGGGAGGATACATCGTCGGGTGAGGACAGCCACAGGGAAGCCATGAACAGAAGGGAGGGGGACATTCTGTAAGACAGACAGGACTCTGCCAAGGGTGCAGTAACCCATTGGCTTTGTTATGTGGAGTCATCTGCTGGACTCAAGGAACTCAGGGAAGACTGGAGCACGAGCTTGTTTCAGAAGGCAGACCCCATACTAATTCCTCCCAAGTCTGGCAGGTCCATGTACAGCCTCTGGCTGTCTTTGGTTCCTAGAAGGGGCAGTTCCAGAGGAAGTGTGGCCTGGGGTTTAGAAGCGGTAGCCAAGTTATCCCTGTGAAGATGTCCTTAGGTCTAGCTCACTTCATCTAAGAGGAGTAAATGCATCAGCAACCTGGGAGGTGGAACCTGGGGAGGAGGGGGTGCTTCTGGATGATTCTCTCAAGCTTCCTTAATAAACCTACTCTCTGCAGCCAATGGGAGTCTGGAGACCCGATAGCAAAGGAGGACCAGGCTAAGCTGGGCGACCTCACAAGATCTATAGAGTTCACAACCTACTCAAGTTCTGGCCACTTCTGTGGGCTGTTGAGACACATGCTCCTGTGGGGAGTGCAGTTTGGGATGAGCATTTCTCCTGCACTTTACCCATAGATGTCAGGCCCCGAGCACCTCACACCGCACTGAGCTTGGAGGGGTTGAGACCATTACCTTGTAGGGCTTCTAGGGGTTAATCTTTGTTTCTGCCTCTGTCTGGATCTGAAGTGGACACGAGATAAAGCTGGAGCTTGTTATGTTAGACACTGTAGTATTGGTTCCAAAGGCAAACACAGGACCTAGCAGGTTGAAGGCCATAGGAGAGAGCGGAGGAGATAGACTTGATTCCCCAAAAGTCCTCACTGTCCCCATTCTTGGCCACAGGTACCAAGGTGGAAAGTTTTCCAGTCGGAGCAGCAGTTTGTTTTTATACCATGTCATGCTCCCAGGACAGACTTGCACAATGAGGGGTCAATCCCTCCCCTATCTCCCTTGGGTGTTCAGTCCTGGTGAGCTATGTGTCCCTGACCAGCCTGGAGTGGCCAGGACTGGAATCCAGAGCTCTGTCCTAAGGTCACGGTAGAAAGCCACTGTCTCTCCCACTCCTGCTCCTTAGCTGCACTGCCTTTCTGCAAAGGGTAGGAACAGAAGCCAGCTCTCTCAGAGACCACCCCAGTCCCACTCTCCTGGAAGAGGTAGCAGGTGAAAGGTCCTACCACAGGGTAGGGATGTTATTGGGATGTTCAAGACAGAGATAGCAGCCCACGGAACCAAGTCCAAGGCCCTTCAGAGTCACAGAGAGGCCCACATCAGATGTGGCTTTCTGCTTACTCCATCCCTATTTGAGGAGAAGGCTAATACCACAAACACTCACCTGAAGGCTAATCCCTGCCTCCTGTTCTCAAGCTGTTCTTCCTGGATCCCATTTAGCCATTGAATGATTGACCTAGAGACACACCAGCTTCCCTGACCCAAAGGCCATGGAGAGCAGACACAGACTTGTTCCCATGTTCATGGGATTTAGTGTGTCCCATATATAGTACTTACTAAATGGCAGAATTGAACTCGGCCCTCTTCCATGTCACTTCCAGATCGAACCCCTTCCCCAGCAAGCCACAATCAAGTGACCTGGCTCTTTTCTCTGATCTCCTTCGGTCCCTTCGCTGTCCACCTTCACAGCACTTTGTAGGTTCAGCTGTCACTCTGCCCCGCCCTGCCCCTGGCTTTTCCTTCCATACACAAGCTCTCTCTAGATGCCCTATGCTACATCTTCACTAAGTAAGGTCTGGCTGGGGTATCATAATGATGGGGAAGGGGGTGGAGGAATATATTTAAGAGCACTGAGTTCTAGGGTACTCTGTCCGGGATTCAGTCTCCATCAGAAATCAGTGTTTGGATCCCAGTACCCTCCAAAACTTACCTCTTCTGTTGTAACATGTAGAGATTGTCCAGGTTCTGGTCCCAGTCTTGTTCCCCAGTCAACCAGCTAAGAAGTTTCTGGAGCTGAATCCAAGGCCTTTTGGCCCCCATGCCTTCTTGTGAGCACTGGCAGATGATGGGAATCTGATCAAAGGAGCAGCCCTCCAGTGGCAACAGCTGAGAGGAGGCAGGGTCCACCTGGGGTAAAGACCCAACCGAGGATCTCTCTCGTGTCACTTGTGTGTGCTGCGTGTGGTTGTGGGTGTGAGTGTGCACACATGTGCTGAAGGACTAGCCGCCCAGCTGGGGAGAGCAGAGAAGGGGTGGAGCCCTTCACAGAGCTGAGCCTGGGGGCACAGAGCCCAAGAGGAGGAAACTTCTGGGTTCTTGGCAAGGGGCTGGGCCACTGAGACCTGAGAGGCTGGGGGTGGGGCTGAGGGATTTGGAGAAGGATAGAGTCCTGGAAGGGGGGAGGGGGTCTCCACAGCGGGATGCAGGAGCAGACACTGTAAAGGCTTCTAGCTCAGGAAGCAGGCAGGTCCTGGTTTAACCCCAGGTTCAGGTGACACGTTCAGGTGAGTATTCTGAACCTCCATCTCCTCGCCTCTGCCAGAGGGCTAGCAATTGTCACTTGGAGGTGTTCATAAGGCACCATGGTCTCCTTCAAAAGACCCGGCCCCGGCTGATTGCTTCCCTCAACGCTACACCGGGGATCTCAGTCCCAAGAAGGGTTATACCTTCCAGGCTATCCCTCTCTGTGAGGACTCCTCCACCCGTGCCCAGAGAAGCACCAACTGTCAGGTCTCCAGGGATGTGTACCACAGGGGATTCCCCCACAAGGCCCTGTGTTTTGCTGGAGGCAAAGAAATCTTGGGACCCTGTCCAGGAATAAGATAGCAAGAGGAATGAGTAATAAGGCACTCTTGTGTGATGTTACCATGCGAATGGCTCCTGTGTCTCCTTCTGATTGTTTTCAAAGAAGCATATAGTCAGTGATCATATGGAAATCAGGCAAGAAAAGTCCTCTGATTTCTGAGTGAGAAGGCTATGCTCCGAGAGGGAACTTGATCACCCGCCCCCCCCAACTTGGGGACTAGAGGCACAATGAACTGGCGTTGACTTGTGCCATCTCAGCTTCCAGTAAACCACTCTCCAGACCTTGTGACAGCTTGTGAAACTTCTGGCCATCGAGAGGAGAGACTTGTTTGGGAGATGTGGGGAATCTTCCTCTGGGGTCTTCTTTGGGCCTCCCCTGTGAAAATTGAAGGAGGGGTAAACAAAAATATAACCTTTGGAGAAGGACAAGAATTGAAGAGAAAATAAGCCAAGGAAAAGAAGAGGAGGTGCCTGAGACAGGGAGGGGTGGGGGGAGGGGGTCACCTTGTGAGACATTTTTCTGCCTCACCGGGAGGTTGGTCTCTGAAGCCTGGGGACTTGCAGTCTAAGGAGATGGAGGGAGTGATAAACTTGAGGTGGGGGTTGTAGATGCCTTGATAAGCCCCACAGGTCCGGGAAAGGAGCCCTTGCCAACCCATAAAGCTGATCCTCCAGGGGGGTGGGGCAAGGAGGGACTGCGGTGAAAGAGGTTGGCCTGGTCAGAGCCGCACAGAGCCGGCATGTGGGGTTAGCCTCCCTGGGTCCAGGAAGGACTAATGTTCAGAGCCCCCCTTCCCATTCCTGGGTGTTCAGTCCTTCCCAGCAGGGCAGACACAAGGAACCTGTAGGGGAAACAACTTGTTAGAACAGAGGTTTGCACCCCCCTCTTCCCCCTCTGACTTTTCTCTCTGCCTCTCATCTTGTTGATCTTTTCTATCCTCTTCCTGCTTTCTTTTCATCTCCTCTCTCTCCCTCAACTCAGTTCTCCTCCACTTTCCACAGCAAGCACACCTACAGCCTGTCTTCCACAGGAGGTTCATGCTGTTGCTCAGGCTCTCTCTGCTGGGGGAGATGGGGGTGGGTGGGGCGGGGGATGAGGCCCCTGGTGCAGCCTTCAGGCCCCAGAGACCTTTCAGTCTGACTCTTACTCTGACATAGAACCAAGGAGGAGGAGACATTCTGATTGTTACACCGTCACTCCACATCTCCCTAGACATCTAGGAAAGAGATTGCCACATTTCATTTTAATCCTACATGAGCAGCCATGATCATTGCGTAGGTGGTGGAAATTAAGGTTTTTGTTTCTTAGGATACTTTAATAATACTTTATACTTTTATAATAAGGGGGGAGGGATGTGTTAAGGAATTACTGATCCCTGCAAAGATCTACATAGTAGGACACTCTAGGAACCAAGCAGGTAGATGGAAAGAAGGTGGAAGTTAACGAGGGTGTCAGTCCAGACTGGTCCTTTCCATTCTGGCCTATACCTCCTGTGTCTGCCCTACCCATTCATACCTACAGAGCTGGCCTCTCCACCTGCCAGGGAACCGAGGCTCCTCCCCCTAAAATAGCCAGGAGGAGATTAGTGATTGTAGTTTTTTCCATGTAAGCGGCTTGTTCTTTGGATCTGCAGGTCAATGAGTGCAAGGTAGGGTAAGGAAGGTCACCAGCTACTTGAGTCCTTCCTCCCCCACCCTAAGTACCCCTCCTGTACCACTCCCAAGTCCCCTGTCACCTGACTTGGCTCACACGGAAGTAAGAGGTGCCTTCTGCTGTATGTGGGCTGGCCCCCTTGTGAGCATGCCAGCTAGTATGGGTAAACTCTGTGGGAAGGAATCTCAACATCATGCACTTTTCATAATTCCCTCTTTTGGGAAGGGTCCATGTTTCTGCACATACCCTTGCCCCCTTTGTGTGTTTCCTTCAGACACGATATACACAGAAAGCAGAGCTGGTTTGAGTCTCCTCCCATCCCTAGCAGCCAAGCTGACCCTCTTGGTCTGTACCAATGCTTCCGGTTTTCCCTGGAAGACTCTTCATCCTGCTCCCCAAACCACAACCTTCCATCTCTGCCAGGAAGCTAATGAGCCAATGCTCACCAGGCTTATGGCAGCATGGGTATTAAGGGACTGGAGTAGACCTTCTACAGCTCCATCGTTTAGGGTTTAGGTTCTTGATTTCCTGCATGACTTTGTCTCTTGGAGATATGTCTGTAACCACTTTTTTCCCCTGTGTATTGGAGTACAGGAAGGTATGAAATGAGGGGAAAGTATTTTGAGCAGAAGAGACAGGACAGCAAAGGCTAGAACAGGAAAGGGGAAACACTAGGGAAGGATGAGGAGAAAACAGCTTCTGCTTGGGGGTAAAACATCTGCTCTCTGCCCCTGTACATGCACTCTGTGTATCTGTCTGTTTCTGTTCTCACTCACGCTCCCTCCCTTCTTCACCCCCCACCCCACGCTCCTCTCTTCTCTCTTTCTTATGATTACACAATGTCTGTGCCTTTTCTTTCCTTCCTGTGCTTCACCCTATCCTTGGTAAACGACATCCTCTTTAGCAGGAGAATCTTTCCTTTTGTGGACCTCCATCTCCTCATTGGTATAATAGGTATGAGAATACTGTTAATTTTGGAATGCCAGTGGCTATGTGAATCTAACACTAGACTGGATGTACAGGTCTTCTGCAAGTTCTTAAGTTCTTTTAGTTTTCATCTTCCTAGAAACTTCCACCATCCACTACTGGCTACTGCTCATTCTCCTGCCTGGCCACGGAATGCTGTAGTGAGTCGGAATGAGGGGTCACAGCATGGCTGTGACGTCATAGAGCACATGAAGTCAGTGGTCCTATGGAAGAGAAGAGGAGAAAGCGCCACTGGGAAGGGGTAAGGTCAGGGACAGGGGCAGGGAGGGAGGTGGGGAGGGAGTCTGCTAGGCACTGGGGGCCTGGGGGCCAGAGACAACAGGTGGGTGGGCAGGCCCATGACTTCCCTGGGCTCCCAGCTCTGCAGGGCAGCATTCCTGGTAGCCATCTTGCTGCTGCTGTGGATGAAGGGGGTGAAACCTCAGAAGGGCAGCCCAGACCCCGATGACAGGAGCCAGAAAGAGAACATGCCCTCTGCAGGTAGGTGGAGAAGAGGGAGACAAAGATTGGAGGAGGTAAGGATCAGATCTGTTTGAGGTCAAGCCCTAGCAGCTAATGAGAGACATGGGATGGTTTGTACAGTGAGAGGTACTCCAGCTCCCTTCTCTCCAAGTGTGAAATGTCTGGAGCAGGTGTTCTTGTGCAGAGCACACCTTGGGTTACCTGTCTTTGCATGCAGCTTCTGAGGGGTGGGCATGAATGTGTTTGTCTAGCAGGAGGGTCCCTGTCTTTTGGTTGCTTGAAAATGTCCCTCGGTCCCCACATTAGTGGAACCCTTTGGAAGAGGCAACTAGTGTTAGAAGCAGGTGTCTGTGTGTGTTTGGGTTGTGGTTGAACTGAGATCAGAAAAGACCTCTGGATGGAGCATCTTTGACCTCTGATCAAGGTCAAAGATGTAGCAGAACACATCATCCTTCATGTTCCCTTAAGACCTTTACTACTTCCCCATTCTGGTCTGGGCAGGTCGGGATTGGGACTGCCTATCCTTGTTCTTCTCCCTATTTCCAGAACAAGACCAAGAACAGTTCGAAGAGCATTTTGTGGCTTCCTCTGTGGGTGAGCTGTGGCAGATGATAGATATGGCCCAGCAAGAGGAAGACACAATCTCAAAAACAGCAGCTGTTCGAGACCACCTCTTCAATCTAGCCTTCTGCTTTAATCTGGCCAGCATCATGGTTTTTTTATAAGAGAAATTGAGGCTGAGGTGGTGGCCTGGCTCCTAAACGAGGACCTCGATGTCTATCTCCGCTTCATGATGGCTTACTGACTCTCCTTTCCTGGATGGGCTCCAGGCCATGACCTCCTCCCCTGAAGGACTTACACCTCCCTCCCTGCCTCTTGGATGAAGCACCTGGCCCCAGGATGCCACAGCAGAAACAGCCGCCATTGCCACTGCTTGATTGCTGTCCCCACCCAGAGCTCTCTGTCCCACGGCCAGAGACACCAGACCAGCTTTGTCCAAAACAACAGATTAGTGAGAGGAGACAGCAACAATTAAATAGCAATACAATTCTGAAAAGAAAAAGAGATAGCTTTCTGAGATTTAGTGTAAACCCTTGGGTCTCTAACTTGTTCTGTTTAATTGCCCGGCCTTTGGCTCACTAACTGACCTTCAGACCCACCAGCTCATCAATCCTTGGTTCTTTTTTTTTTTTTCCACCTGTGCCCATGGAGCCCTTCTTGGCACATTTCCCTCTTATCTTTTCTGACTTCTAGGAATAGAACATAACAGGAAAGACCATTAAGAGATGGCAGATGCCAAGTGCCAGCTTTTATTGAAGAGGAAAGAAAGTATGTCTCCGACTCCCTGGTTACGACCTGACAGGTGTGTGCAGTTGCCTGTGGTCTCTTGGATAGTCGAGTCACCAGAACTGGCAGTGGCTGGAGGGGTTCATGGGGGTACCGTGCGGACAATGGAAATTACTGGCAAAGGCTGGGTGGTTGCTGAGGGGTCCGTTGACTCGAAGACTGGGGGGGCTATGAGTATCCCGAGCGTCCTGAGTATTGAGCTCTCCACACATCACCTGAGGAGGAAGGTAAGATTGACAGGGCAGGGCAGACACTGGGGACAAAGAGGCCTCCACAGGGAGCAGAAATAGATGTCCAAGGAGAAGTCTTCACATGTGCATCATTTAATCTAGCACTGGGAGTGGGGAAGGCCTGAAGAGTGTAATTCCACCATTCATAAAGGCCCTGATCTGTAGTCTAATGGAGAAGTCCCATGAGGGAATTGTGTTAAGGAGCTGAGGCAAGGGGTACAAGGCTCCGAAATGAGTTCTGTCGACTTGGAACCACTCCTGGGGGTGAGATCTCTGAGGAGGAATTTAATAATCAACCTGTTAGTAGGAACCTGTTTCTGAGGTGCCAGAGAAGAAAACAACTGGCCTCCTCTCATGGCAGGATTCAGAAGTAGAGAAATGTTTCCTTCTTAATTTGGGAGGCAGGGAGGGCACAAGTGGCTAGAGTTGGGTTGAAGTATTTGTCATGGTGTGCAGTCTGGCTCCAAAGGGGTTGAGGGAGAAAGGGTGACAATGTGACATCTATGGCAGCATGTGGGGTTATGTGGGCAGGGTATGTTAGAGATACACTACCATAAGCACCAGTGATAAGGGATTTACTGAAGAAAGCTGCAGGGGAGGGGGGTAGCAGTTGCGTACCTGGGCATAGCTTCGGAAGAAGAGCTGGTGTGGGGTGAAGGCCTTGCCAGGCAGGGTGGTCTCCCCACGGTACAGTAAAAGCCTCTTGCTGTAAGCCTGCACAAGATGATGAGATGGAGACTTGCCTTTAAGCTTCAGACCCATGAGCATTGGGAATGCCTGCTACCCAGTACCCCAAACCAGGTCACGGGCCTTCTGCAGCAATGTACTGACACCCCGGTCAGAGCCAGAAGAAAGAGGGACTCGTCAGGATCTACAGAGTAGTTGAGGGATCTCTCAGAGGGGATAGGAAAGGCAGAAAGAGACACAACCAGGTTGGGCCCAGGGGATCGTGGAAGGTGAAGCTGAGGACAATTTCTAGTCTGCTGGTAAAAATGGGTCACGGTCACTGACGCACCTGCAAAGCAATGGCCAGTCCAACCATATCGGCAGTATTCTCCAGGAGAGGGTGGCAGCTGTTGAAGGAAGGTCTGATGGAAAGCGGGAAGGCGGCATAATGGTTCTCCAAGCACAGGAGCACCTCCTGTAGGGCGTGGGGGTCACAGGCTTGGAAGCCTCCAGGGAGTACTGTTGAAAATGAATCAGAATGAACTGGTAGAGGGCGGGGGTAGGGAATGGCGGGGGGAAAGACATGGAAAAGTACCCCAGACTGATAGAGCTCCCAGGAACACTGCCCCACCTGGAGAGGCCTTGAATAATCTTCCTCTTCCCTCTATAACCTCCTTTGAGATCCTCCCTTGGGTTCCCTGTGGTTCCCACTTCCCAGTGGTCCCATTACCCACAATGCTGGTGGGAGATGTTCAGGAGCTTGTGGGCCATGATGATGCCAGCAGCGCCAAAGTTCACCGCTCTAGGGAACAAGAGCCTGTCTTACCTCTAGCATCCGTCGACAGTGTTTTACCCCAGCTCTCTAACCACCAATCCCATCCTTTCTAACATGTGAGTCTTCTTGAGAAACCCTCATAGAATGGCCATACCTTGGGTAGTCAGGGTGGAAGAAGGGAGGTTGGAGAAGGCCAGCTGGGAAGACCAGCACGTGGTCAGTTCTGGAATAATAAGCATTGACTGCCCAGGGAGACACTTGCCATCTGTGGGGAGAGCACACACAGGCATAGCTCTATCATTCACTGCCCCCCAACATATACACAGTCTCCCCTAACCAGGATCAGAGCTCCTGTCCCTTTCCTATTTGTTAGCGATGGGCTATCTCTGGGAGGGAGTGTCCGAGTCTCTTGCATTCGTACCTGTGGGAGGAGAAAGGCTGCAACAAACTCTGGACATTTCTAGCCCGAAGAGACCGGACAGAGCTCAGTAAAAACTGCAGGAAGCTGGGTCCGATTTGTATCTGAGGAGAAGGCAGGAGGTGACTTAGATTCTCAGAAACGGATACAGATGGGCACATCGGCTCTTACAAACAGCCACAGATTACTGGAGGTGACAATCATAACATAACACAGTGTAGTTGTTCTTCAAGTGCAGCAGCAGCCAGATAAATACACATAGGCATGTCACAGAAAACAGGTGTGTGTGCGCGCACAAGAAAGGATCAGTCTTCTCTGACAAGACACAGCCCGCACCAAGACAAGAAAGAGGTTGGTTAGCCAAACATCCATAGGCAGGGAGGCAAAAAGTCAAGGTGGTGGAGAAGCAGAAAAGGCAAGCACCCACATCACTGTATTCCTGGCTGGCCACTTCTGGCTTCAGGGCCCATTGGGGGGCCCCCATCTCCACCTTCAGTTGGGTGACCTGGGGAGACACAAAGGTGGTACTAACCTAGTATTTGCCATGAGTCTCTCAGAGCCCTCAATACTATCTTCTGGGATGTGTGTATAATGTGGCTCTTTTTTTGGCGGGGGGGGGGGCTCTCTTCTATCACTGTCTCTTGATCCAGTGCTCTGTACCATCTAAACATATCCACACTGGCCCGCACTCCTAATTTTACCCTGTCCAGGGTCTCTTTCCGGGTCTCTTCACTTATCCAGGGAAGTTTTTTGAGGTACAGGACGAGGGCATCCTTGATCTCAGTGAACAACTCCGTGGCCTGCGGGGAGTACAAAGGTGGAGAGAGGGCAAGGTCAGGACTGGCATCATCTGGGCCCTGCACAACACCCCCTGATTCTGGAAGCAGTCTTGTCCCAAGAGATGCCTGAGCACAAGGAGCTAGCAGAGAGCAGCTCAGAAAGACCAGGGGAAACAAGAAGGTCTATTTCCTAGATCTGTGGACTTGGAAAGGCAATTCTAAGTGCACAAAGGGAAGCGGAAGCAGCTTTCCCCAAGAGTAGGCCAGGAAGATGGCTCTTTGCTGTAGAAAGAGCTCAAGCTAATGATTTCTTATTCTTGAGGAAGGTCAACTGCTCAGAAAGCAGAAGAAAAAGGGCTGTGGTTCCTCTCTGCTCTCTGGGCACGTGCCTGCACATCTTCCTCCTTAAGGCAGATGTTCCCTCGCTTTCATTCATTTCCCTGAGCAATTCTGCTGTCCAACAAGTTGAAGCCTCCTCAGCTTAGTCTCCATGTGTACTTCCTGATCTCCTAACCATTTAACCGTATGCATGTAGCTTTCTTGAAGGAAGAGAATGAGTGACAACACCAGACTGAGTTCTAATCCTGAGTGTGGTATTGGCCTTGTCCAAGTTATTTAGCCTATCGGTGCCTGAATTCTCTATACTATAAAATCAGGATGATAATAAGAACTAAATAAAGCAGTCCATACAAAGTATATTGTTTTGATAAGAGTCTGCAGCCTATATGGCAGGTTCTCACAAAATACTCATTCTAGATACTCTGTCATCATCATCCTATGCTCCTATTGTATCATGTGTTATTCAAAAGTTGTAGACAAACAGGGAGGAGTCTTAAAGGTCAAGGAGTTTTATTTTCTCATTTTATGGTTGAAAAAACACAGTACCAGGAAAGCCAGGTGACGCGCCCAAATTAGTGTGTGTTGTGAATACTTCATGTCCTGTAGCTGAATAGTGCTGCCCAATAGATGGAGCTGACCCCTGGGCTCTGCCTTTAGGTAGACGTTCCTTATTGCCAGATTCCCAGCCATGCATGCCACTGAAGGGCACAGGCCATAGAGCCCGGTCAAGGTGTGTGGTGGGAAGGGAAGAGGGGCATGGGGAGGGAAGAGTTCTCACATACAGCACTTTGCATTCTCTGGCCAAATGCCTCACGAACAAATAAGGCTGCCAGCGTAGGCTCAAAGAAAGTTCCCGTTTTCTCCACACACTTCATCCATCGTGGTTGGGCTGGCTGTAGAGACAAAGCTGGAGTGAATGAATGCTATCTAGGATTCTCCTCTTGCTTTTTTTTTTTTAGGACAGTCTTGTCTAGAACTTTAGCCCAGAGGATGCACCCTTTAGTGGGATTTTTATCATCTCCTCTGCTGATACACACTGCTATTCAGCCAGGAAGAAGCTTGCTGCCTCCTCCCCCCCCTCCTCCTCCTCCTCCTCCTCCTCTTCCTCCTCCTCCTCCTCCTCCTTCTCCTCGACTGAGACAAATGGAGCAATTTTTTTATTCATTGCCTATTGATTTGAATGCAAGGGCCCTGGGAGCCATCCCTCTGAAGATCAGATGGTTCCTATGAAGAGGAGGAGGGGAAGCTGAGCACTGTGACTCACACCTGCAATCTTAGCTAGTCAGGAGGCTGAGATCTGGGGATCTCAGTTTGAAGCCAGCCCTAGCAAGAAAGTCCATGAGACTCTTATCTCCAATTAACCACCAGAAAACCAGAAGTGGTACTGTGGCTCAGAATGGTAGAGTGCTTGGCCCTGAGTTCAAGCCCCACAGCTGACCAAAAAGATAAAATAAAAAGAGGAGGGGAAACCAAACTCTGATCCCACCCAACACATCGGGGATGACCTATCCTCCTATAATCCTTTGCTCAAAATAGAAGTTGATGACACTAATTCTCTTTCTCTACTCTGGCCAATGCACACTGTCCAAGTGGGTGGAACATCTTATTATGGAGAAGAAAATCACCAATAAAAGTGGACTTCAGATGCTATATGATTTGCTATGAGAAGATGAGCAAACAGCAACAAATGACAAAGTGCATAATTAAAAATAAACAGTTAAACTTGGCCAAATCAGACAAAGACACTAGGATGGGAAGTTGGAAAGTTTAAGCTTCATAAACACAGAGGCCATTAGGAGCAGCAAGAGAGCCATTGGCATGTTTGTTTGTGGGTTTATCTCTTTTATCTCTTTGTTTTCTAACAGCAGGGCCCAGAGATTGGAAATAGATGCTGGGGAAGCTTTCAGTAGTGGACTTGGATGGATCTGAAGAGTTGGTAGAGGGATAAGCTCATAGACGACCTAGTGTGAACAGAGCCAGGGGAGAGGAGCCAGGGAGCTGGCTTATGGGTACTAAGCTGTACAGTTATATTAATATAGATTGAAAGAGATAAAGCTGTAACACTTTATTCTTTTAGCTTATTTATAAACCAAAGAATGGTTGGCCAGGTGGTGAAGAGGGTGCCACTAATGTCCTCAGCACAAGAGGGCTTGACTTAAGATGTGCAGGGATGGGTCTATGAAGCAGCCCAGGAATGGAGAATCATTGCAGTAGTGGGTAACAAGAAGACTCTTGTCCTGAGCCTGCCAGTGAGACATTATTTTGGACATAGCCACCCACCTCTGTGTGTTCTGCTTCCTACACCATAAGGTCTCTTCACATCTTTTCTAACACAACTGGGGACTTTTTTCTGGGGTTGGAGGCATGGTATGGGCAAAAGCAGCAGAGTTACCACGCTTGAGTCCCAATCTCAGGCCTTTCTATGATGTGCTATTTGGACCTTAGAAACTAGGAATTAAAGGGAAATACGTTTGCAATGACTGACTCAAGTGGCCAATTTCAGCATCCTTACTGCTCCAACAGGCTTGGTGCCAGGAACACCTTTTCTCTACTGCTGCCACATGTGGGGCAGCAGCAAAGAGCACCAGCAGGGTTTGCCCTGGAGCCTGCTAGTGAGGACTTCTCAGCCCTTTTCACACCCCCAGACTCTTGGCTGTTTCCCCTTTGCTAATGACTGAACCATTATTCAACATCCTTTTCAGTGGGACTTGGCTACTCAAGATAATAGACACAACTCAGACTATGACAACTGCTATCTCTACCTCAAGACATAAAGTGATGGAGCATACAACAGTGATGTGTGTGTGTGTGTGTGTGTGTGTGCGTGCGTGCGTGCGTGCGTGTGCACAAGAAAGAAAAGAGGAAAAACAAGAGAAAAACAGAGAAAAGAAGGGAGAGAGAGGAAGGAAAGAACAAAATGAGGAAGGAAAGAGAACACAATAAGGAAGGAAAGAAAAAGAGAAAAGGAAAAGAAAAGATACAACCAGAGAAAAAAATCTTATAAAGGATGGAAATAATATTGCAAATGCAAGACAGTAGAGTTCAGTGGTTTCATTTTAGAGCACTGAAAAAAATGCCTGTCACTTCTAAACCATGAACAAAATAAGAAATGACAGAAATCATGAAAAATTCCTAGAGTCTGGGAAGAAGTAACAATTGGGCCTATCTTTAATGAGGGTAAAGTAGAATTTAGGGTCTACAGGCCTGTGGGAAATCATTAATGTTCTAAACAAAGTTCTGGGAGGAATCAGTAAAGGAGTGGTTTTTGAACAATGTATAACTGTTAAGGTTCAGAATGGGATCACTGAGGACAAATAATACCAATAATACCAAAATAATAAAAATGTTGAGTTAATAGACTCCTTAAACTGTGGTGTAGGAACCACAGACTAAAATAGGGGCATTGATAATTAAGGGCAGTGGTCTGACATCAAAGCATAAGGCACAAGGGACTTGGTACCCCCAGCTGAAATGAGGTGCATCCATTTCACACAGACAGACATCTTCTGGGCACTTGAAAAGGTTAGGCAGCATCAGCTGGCACTGCACATGCAAAATACAGAATTCTGACTGCTGGTATGCCATCTGATCTTTAAATGTTGGCAATTAATTCAGAGTTTGTAAATTAGTTCAAAACCCAACAAAATATATCTATAGACTAATTTCATCCTTGGTGGCCACCACAATTCGTCCTTTAAACAGAATATTAGCATTGGCTATTGTGAATGTTTGACTTACATCTCTGGGCTTTGGACATACCAGTTGTAAAAATGAGAACAATGCTTGTTCTACCTTCTGCCCAGATTTGAGGATCAGGAGAAAATGGACCTTCAAAGAATTCCACTGGAATTCCATTAACATTGCTTTGGACATTCTAATAACTGTCTGTTGGCATTATCTTAACATCAGCTAACACCACAAGTTACATCTTTGTGAATTAAATGTAAAATCAATGCTAAATGATAGTATAATGTGAATGGACTCTTGTCCCTCTAAATAAGTAAACAACAATGATGAATGACTCAGAGTTAAGATGACTTTGTTGATCTTCCCACAATCATGACTACATTCTTTCAAACTTCCTTTACTGATTTGGTCTAACACCACTCTATATGTTTTATTGAATCTATTCTTTTTCTCCCTTTACTGGAATATATACGCACAAAGGTAGGAATGCTTGTCCATTTTGCCAAGCACTATATCCCAAATGCTTAGAGATGAGCCTGTCATCTAGTAGTCGATACACAATAAACATTTGTCACAAAATGAATTGAGGAATTTATGTCATAAATAACCTGAACCAAGCTCTCCCTTCAGGATCTTAACAGTAGTCTGAAAAAAACACTGATTAAAATTGAAAATCGCCCAAGGTTGTAAAGGAAATGTCATAGAAAAGAATTTTGAAACAAAGATTTCAATTACCTGAATAAATTGGGATGTTGGGTTGAATATAAATAGCAATCACAAATATGAAATCTTTTTACCTCCCCAAACCCAGCTCTACAGGTTTCATAAAAAAACCTTACTCTATATTCAGAATTAACCAAATCCAGATAATGAGACCTAGCAAGGTTTTAGAATAAAGATCCTATAAATTAGAATTCCTTTGGAAGAATGTGGTGAAAAGACTATCATTTGGCTAGAACCAAAAAGTTTGGTCAAATCAAACCCCAAACTTTGGTGTTATCCTTGATGCCCAAAACTCTCTTACACTGTGAGTCAAGAAATCCTAGTCCCTCTCTTCAGAATTTTTTTTTTTTTTGTCAGTCATGGGGCTTGAACTCTGGGCCTGGGCACTGTCCCTTAGCTCTTCAGCTCAAAGCTAGTGCTTTACCATTTGAGCCACAGTACCACTTCCAGTTTTCTGGTGGTTTATTGAAGATAAGAGTCTCACAGACTTTCCTGCCCAGTCTGGCTTTGACCTATGATCCTCAGATCTCAGCCTCCTCAGTAACTAGGATTACAGGCATGAGCTACTGGCACCCAGCTCAGGAACATTTTAAGACGTAAATCAAGTGTGTTCCTCTGCACATCCCTGTTTTGTTCATTGGAAAGCAGAGTCCTCACTGTGACCTGCCAGCCCGGCGCTGGCTCTCTTCTTCTGCCTCATTCCCACTTGGCTGCTGTCCCATGCGCTCCACTCCAGTTGCTCCATCACTGTTTCTGACACTGGGAGTTGTGCTTCAGCAGCAACAATGGGCCCAGTGTTGAATGCAAGCCACATGTCACCTCTTCTTAGCCACAACCACGAGGGACATTCCTAAACTCACCAAGTTTTAGCCCTATTCTCTGTTACAAAGAGATACTACCTTTTTCTTTACCATGAAACTCCTTCCTCCCTCTAGATATTCCTTCTAATCCTACCTGCTGCAGAAAAACAAAACAAAACAAACTACTCCAACCACCTATCTTAGGAACCTGTTCCTAGAATTCTCTATGAACACAGCACCAAGCACTTCCTGCTAGGAGCAGTCAGTGACTGGTAACTCAAGCTACAGAAAATGCAAAGCTACAAGTATTTGCTGTCTTGTACTTTACTGAAAGGTTTGCTAAGCCAATGTTTGGAACTTTCATGTATTTCTCAATCCTTTGGTTACAAACAGCCACATTGGCCAAAATAGATCTACTTTGGAGCCTGTCCCTTCACTTTGCTTATGAGCAGTGAGCAATGTGGTCTTAGGGAAGTTACACAGCTTTTGTGCACCTTTATTTGCACCTGTGAAATAGGATTAAAAACTCAAACATTTCTGAGAGGATTAAATGAAGTAATCTTTGCTAAACCCTACATACAGTTCTTGACAGAGACTAGCCACGAGAGATCAGCTATCATCATCATCATCATCATCATCATCATCTCATGTTTTGTTGTTATTCCAAAAGGTGAAGTGCTTTCTCTAAGGTCACCCTCACGGTTTGCTGGTAGAGCTTGATTCAGCTTCAAGGCCAAGGGCAAGTCTGTGCCCTGATGGAAAGGCGGTGACTTCAGGACTTGTGGGCCTCCTACATTCTTTGAGCATGAGTATCAGCACTGGCATTCTGACACCTTCCCAGACATGACATCAGGCCACGGGTGCTGGGATTTACAGGAAGCTATTTGTTGCCTGGAATTTTGCAGCAAGCCCACGAAGAGAAGCTGGGGTTCTGATGGAGAGATAGACTGGTTCCTTGGGAACTTGCCCCAGGCCCTCCTGGTGAAGGCCTTGAGAGTGGAAGGATCTAGAGCACCAGGAGGAAACACACAGACCCTGAAGCCAGACTGTCATGGTTCAACCCCTTGCTCTAATCATTTACTATGGATTTTACCATGGTCAGCTTCCTTACTACTGCATATCCATTCCTCCCCTTTAAAACAAAGATAAAATGATGCTCATTGTACCCTATGGGATTTTAAGAATCAAGCTGGTTAACAGACCTGAGAATTTAGGGAAATGTCGAGGACATGTTAAGCTCTTCATGGGCAATAACTACATTCTACTTTCTGGAAATATGATTGCTATATTTCCCTTCCCTGAATCCACAGATACATTTAGATTTCTTTAAAGTTGAGTAATGGTCTACAAATTAATATTAAGAAAATGCTTTTCCCTTTACAATCTGAGGCCTTCACTGAGGCTGGGGTGTATCTAATTTTTTTTGTGTGTGCTAGTTCTGGGGCTTGAATTTGGAGCTTGGGTGCTGTCTCTAAGCTTTTTTTTTTTTTGCTCAAGGCTAGCACTCTACCACTTGACCCAAAGCTCCACTCCTGTTTTTTTTTTGGTGGCTAATTAGTATAAAGATCTCACAGACATTACTGCCTGGGCAGGCTTCGAACTGCAATCCTCAAGATCTCAGGCTCCTGAGTAGTTAGGAATATAGGCATGAGCCACTGGCACCCAGCAAGATATATCCGATTTACTAGATATTTCTACTTGCATTTGAGTACTTAGGATTTTAAGGTTCTTGCTGGCAACGTATCTCTGCATCTTAGGTAATAAATCCAGTAGATCCTAGTTAGTAAAGCATATTTTCACACAGTGCCTTTTTCGGAGATATTAAAATCTTTACCACAAAGTTCATGCATGATCCAGTAGATCCCACTGCTTCAGAGATCCATTTTTTTTGTGATACACATTGAAATAGTGACCTTGAATTCACCTCCTCTGTGGGGGAATCACTAACTAGAATGAAGTTCCATTCACTGATTGCTCTGTTTGTTCTGTCTGTGAAGGTTGCACTCGGGCCCTTCAATCATAAAGCTCAGGATAACTGAGCAAATAGTTTAAGGATGACGACAAAGAAAGAACAGCCCTTGATCATTTCAGTCATACATTGAAGCCCTCATACTCAGCAAAAATCGAAACAGAGTTGGTCAGGGGTTGTGTTCCTAAAGGCAGCCTGGTTCTCAAGTTACCTGCTGCCTTCCCATCCTGAAACCTTCCAAGGAATTCCCAGACGCGGGGTGGGGGGGTCCTCTACTCTTATGCCCTCTTCCCCTCCTCCCTCAGCAACACATCCTCCAAATCTGCCACCATCTGAAAAGTCCGTGGGCCCCACCCCCTCCTATCCTCACCATGGGTGGTCCTTCTGTCAGCTCCAGCAGTTTCTGGGTCAGCTCTCTGCGTGCGTCCTGAAATTTGCTGTCCAGGGCTGGGGAAAGGATCCCCACGAGCCCGAAGATCATGTGGCTCTGCAAGCAGTCCCTATGGAGACAAAAGAGACCCCCACATAAGCTGAGGGCTCTGGGTTGTCCCACGAACACCCCTGTGGAGTCAGTCATCCTGAGGGCAGCCCCTCTGTATTTATGTTTACAAAATAGCCTGGGTCATGCACACACCCTTTTCTGCTGCGGATTAAGGAATGATAGAAGAAACTGTATAAAGAGAAACACCTGGGCTAAAGGCTGCACTCATAATGAAGCACACGGATGAATCTATGTGAATCAACACATCCTGGTGCACCTCAAGATGCATCCCCTAAGCACCTCAAAGCTGAGGCCTGTGACTTCCCTTTTCCCCTCTGGCTACTCTCCTATCAGGTAGCCTCATTTTAATCTGATGGCATCCACATGAATGTTCTGTTGCTTCCCTCATAAAAGATGACTAGGAGTTGCCCTGCCAGTGAGCTATTATGGAGAACCGTGAGTCCAAGTGCTTGGAAATCAGCTGCAATCTTCAGATGATGGACACAGGGCTGACAGACTCTCCAGCCCAACACACAGCTACACTATGACACTCTCCTGAACCCAACTCCTTCACACCAGCACAAATCATCTTAGAAAGTCTTTCCCATGAGGGAAAGAGTCTTCCCATGAAGGTAAGAAATGCATCCCATGCTTTCTCCCCGAGATCATCCAGGCTTCTCCATCTCTACCTCCCCATCCTATGTCTCTCTCAGCCAAGGTAATCCTGGTCCTCAGCGGAGACCCATGTGTCCTCTGACTTTCCTCCTGGCCCCACGACCTGCCCAACCCCACCAGAGCAAACCTGTGGCTCAGCAGCAGTTGTGACATGTTTCTTAAATAGTCCAGGTCATGGACCACCAGGGGCTGGGAGGGAGTCAGGGACATCTGTGTAAACGTTGCTTGCAAGCAGGACAGCCAATCGATGGCAGGGGCCATTTCCTTAAAGGAAGGACATAAAGCTGAAGGAGAGAGGGGAAGGAAGGGAGAAGGCAGGGGAAAGGGCTGCTCTCTGGATTTGAGAGGGAATAAAAGGACTGTTGGTAGTGGGAGGGAGGGAGGAAGGGAGGAGAGGAAGGAAGGAAGAAAGAAGAGGAGGAGAAGGAGGAGGAGGAGGAGGAGGAGGAATGGAGCCAGAAAAAGAAGCTAAGGATGGAAAGGAATCAAGGGCACCATGAGGAAGGAGATAAGGCAAAAATACAAACAACCCAAGAGAGATCATCAGCCCAGAGTCTGAGCCTCCATTTCAGGCACCTGCAGTTGATCAATAGTAATATTATTGAAGAACTTGTCCTGTGCCTGCTGCTGTTCTAGGGGCCTCCGAAACTGGGACAGCCTGGAGGTGATGGTGAGGGACAAGGAAGCGTGTCGCTGCACATGTTCAGGGTCACCTCCCAGCAAGGTTCCCAGGCGATTCAGGTATGTCAGGTACGCACGAAAAATCTGGAGGAAGAGCAGACATGGTGAAAGCCACCAAAAGCCCCGGCTGCCTCTCTCCTGGTCTCCGAAGGCAGGGTTTTGTCTGTCCACCATCTTACCTGGGCATAGATCTTCTGTTCCTGCTCTTGCTTGAGAGGAATGTCAAACTCTGGCTGGTCTATCTGGACACAAGAGAGACTGGAGAGAAACGGGGAGCATGGGGGATGAAGAGGGCAGGTGTGGGAAGGGAGGAGGGGCACCAGGGAAATGGCTTGGGGGAGAGCACAATATAAAGCTGACAGAGAAGGAGCAAAAGTACAAAGAAAAGAAGGGATGAGAAATGAGAGTGTGGAGAAAGGGTCCAGGCGTGGAAACACGAAGCCATTATACAGACGTGAAAACGTGTGGCTATTATAACTGGCCTGGAGATGTTCAGCAAGAGAGACACAGTCAGTGTTTGAGAAGAAGCTATTCCCTGTGCTAGGGTTACATCAGGGTCAGGAAGGTAAAATATCCATGCCAGATGCAATAACCAAGAAGTGTTCAAAACTCAGAAAACAAGGTATTTGTCATTTTTCCTGTAAATTACTGTCATTATTTTTTATTATAAGATTTTCAAAATAAAGATTTTGGTCCATTTGGGAAAATTCATTTTTAAAAAAATCCACAGTAAGCCAGGTGCTGCTAGCTCATAACTGTAATCCTAGCTACTCATGAGGCTGAGATCTGATAATCAGGGTTCAAAGCCAGCCCAGGTAGGAAAGTCCATGAGACTCTTAACTCCAGTTAACCACCAGAAAACCAAAAGTGGCGCTGTGGCTCAAGTGGTAGAGGACTAGCCTTGAGCTGAAGAGCTCAGGGACAGCGCCCAGGCCCAGAGTTCAAGCCTCACAACCGACTCCCCCCAAAAAATCCACAATAAGAATTTAAAATTTTGTTCCTCACAGATACTGATTTCTATTTTTGTATTGATTTCTATTTTTTACGAATATTCATTAAATGTTCTTTCCTGACATTTTGTGTTGGGGAGAGAACCCTCTCTAAATTTTGCTCCCTACCATCAACCAAGTACTCTTAGGTCTAGCCCTGGTATGCCCTTGTGTGTGTGTGTGTGTGTGTGTGTGTGTGTGTGTGTGTGTGTGCCCATGGTTTTAACTTCCTAACCTTCCTTCTTTCCTTAACACCATACAGTCTATGTTCATTCCTATACCTCTGTTCAAGTTTCAGTAGTATCTTCTCATTTCCTATTCCTAATCCGAGCTCAGAAATCTTGGGAATCAATAATGGTGCCTTCTTCCTGAAGCTCTTCCTGTGACCTCATCAATGGCAGTCTAATTCTTCCCTGCTCTTACTCTTTCGTGGCTCTCTTTCTACCCCAGTCCCTCACTGTCTCCCTCTGCAGCCCATTCTATCTTTCAGACTTTGAGGTCATGATGACAATTCCAATCTCACCAAACAAAAATGGACTCCTTCAGGGTTTCCCACAGCACCTTTATTCAGTCCCCAAGACCTCCAGAAACACATGGAACTCTTACCTCTAGGATGAACTGCCAATCTCTGGCTTTTCCTTTCTATTTCTACCACTATTTCCATGCCTCAATACCTTCAGCTTGGCCTCCAAAGCTGTTGACTTTACATAAGCTCTATCCACAGCCATCATAACATTGAAAGGCCACACTCATTCTTCTTTTATACCCCTAGTATATCCATAATTATCAAGTCTCCCTGGATTTCTAGGCCAGCAATAATCAGGCCCAAGCCCTTATTTTCAGTCCTATTTTTTTCTTCCACTGGATCCCACCTACCCTAAGCCATGACCAGTCTTGCCATTGTCCTGATAAAGGAATCACAGCATTCCAAGTACTTCTTTTAACTCAATTTCCCTATAGCCCTTCTAGTACCTTTTAGCTTCATTTTCACCAGAATAAATCAAGGCTGCTTCAAAATTCAACTCAAGGTCTCCTCTTTGAGCCATTCCTCAGCCATTTCAGATCTGAACCAATCCCCAAAGGCTACACTAGTTAAACCTTATACCTTAAAACTGAATTTTGGAACATTTCATACTGATGATCGGTTATTGTGAAAAGAATCGTTATCTCCCAAGGTTGTAAAAGTCTTGAGAGTAAGGGTCAAATATATAACATTTCCATTACTTAGGACACTGGTAGTGGCTCCACTACTGAAGCGTTTGTCCCTGTGAGGGAAGCTAGCTGTCTGGGGCGGAGGAACTCCAGCGGCCTGCTCTGAGTTGGCCCACAGTCTTCAAATCAGAGTGTCAAACACTGAGCGCTGGAGGACATGAGATGGCACAAGGACCTAATTCACAAGGACTTAACTCACAGCTGGGGGAACGTCAGGAAAGACTTCCTGGAAGAGACTCAGAGCCAACATGTGAATCCATGCAAGGATCTTCTAGGCCAAGTGTGGGGAATTATTTCAAGCAAAATGATAAGCATAACCATAGTCAAGAGGAATATTCTTGGGGGCTTATATGAGTCAGCAGAGCTTAGGATATAAGGGGGAGAAAGGATGTGTTAGGAGATAAGAGTAGAGAACTGCGTATGGGATCAGCTGGGGGAACATGCAAAGCTTTGCGAGGATTAGGGACCGTATCTTGATGACCTGGTCGTGATCCATTAAAATGGCAGGCATTTCAACAGAGACAATAGCATCATTATCCTTTTGTTTAGAAAGGCCTCTCCGACAAAAATGAAGAGTAAATATGAGGGGGAAAATCTTAGAGACTGGAGCCCTTGGTTCGATGTCCAGGAGAAATCCAGATTAGGAAGAAGGCAGGCTGGAACTACTCCAATCTTCCCAGAACTGGCCTTGCTCCTCCTCCCACCCCTCCTAGTGTCCCTAGCTCTCCCAGCAATCACGTTCGCCTAAGATAGAGTTATTGTCTGAATTGCATATTTGTCTTATCTCCAATCCTGAAACCTTCCTCTGAGAGAGGACGGACTAGAGTTAGAGGTAGGGCAATGTTCAAGGGTGGTTTTGCCAGTTCATCCCTCACCTGGATGACCAGTGTGTGTGGAGGGGAAGGATGAGGTCGAAGATGAGCTCTGAAGAAAGGGAAGTGGCCATATTGACTCATGAGAAGCCTCAGCGTCCGGTTAAAGTCTAAGGAAGTCCAGTTTCCAGAGAAGTTCCAGCCTCCAAGCTGGGAAGAGACGAGATGGAGCTGAGCAGAGGGGTCTGAGACTCGCACCCCATTGTGCTGACTGTTTTTCTCCCTCAAAGCTTTTATCTCCCAATTTTTGAGCCCTTTGCTCCCTCCAAGTCTCTACATGTCCCTTTCTCGGTCTCAATTCTCACCCTAGGGTCTGATTCTTCACAGAGCAAACTCCCTGCTCCAACTTTGGGGTCACTAAGAAAGAGACATGGGTCCTGTGAGTTTTATAACCAGAAAAGTATCCCAGCTGTTCTCACCTCCTCAATAACTTGTCTAAGGGGACCAGCCCCTGCAGCTTCAATGGCCTCTGTGTCCATGCAAGACTTATAGAATTGGAAGGTTTTCTCCTCCCCAGATCCTGGGTGCCAAGACCCTGGGGCCTCTAGAAAGGAAGCGTGGGAGAATTACAAGAGTGAATGAAGGCCAGTAGAGAGACAAAAGAGGTGAGAATCAAGGAGTTCAGTGGTAAGAAATGGAAGTTCTCAATATGAAAGGAAGGGGAAAGAGTCATTTGAGGAAAATGGGAACACCACTCAAATTGGAAAGGATCAACTTGATGGAAAGATAAGAACAGAAAGAAGCAGTGCAGGCAATAGATGAGAAGAAAATAAGAAAAGCAATCAGGAAAGCACATAGAAGAAAGGAAAGGAACAGGAATAAGTAGATAAAGGAGAAAGGGTAGACATAGAAGACAAGTAAAAGATGATTGAAGAAGTCTGAAAAAAAATCAGTAAACCAGAGAACTTCAGAGCAATTCAGGGAAGGAAACTCATATGGATAGGTTTGGTAAAGAGGTGAAATGGGAGGGCTCCCTTAGTCCAAACTCCCTTTATTACTGGTACCCAGAACATGAACAAACACAACAACCCCAAACCACATCCATCTTAGCCATCTACCTGCTAAGATCTAACCTCCTCTTCTCCGTCTTCCTGGAATCTTTTTATTCCAGTGAGAACACATCTGTGTATTTTCTTTTTCATCTCAGTGCTTGAACTGAAAATGGCCTCTTTCCCACTTTTTCCCCATAAAAAGGTGGAAAGAATCCCATTTGTGCCATCCATACATTATCTAGGTTTCCTTGGGATATAGGACTTGCCTATCTTTTATGTTTTTATTCCCAAGCCCTCACCTCAACCCACCAACTTCCAGCCTCTTAGCTGGTTCACTCTCTCCTTTGACTTTTCCTCTCAGACCTGACTATTGTTTCCATTTTCTTTGTAGACTCCGCCTACCCAGGAATAGTCTTAATCTCCATTTAGTTTATAGCCTCTCTCTCTTCTGGCATATGCTTTGCTCCAACTCATCTGCCCCTTATTCACCACCAATAACCAATACCCCCCGCCCATCACTTTTTCCCCAGTATCTCCAAACTTCTGCTCTGAAGATGACACATAGAGTTTGGAGAGAGTTGTAACCCTCCAAGACTCAGCCCCCCCAACTAGCACAGAGAAATCTGGGAGTCTGTTTTCCTCACCTAGTAGTCTCTGCAGCCTGCTTTTGTTCTCCTCTGCCAGAGCCTGAAAAGCATGACTAGTCCCGTTGGCTTTGCCACCACAGGCAAAACTGAAGAAGTCCTCGCAGGGGGCCACACTGGTGTTTCCGTAGGCTAGGTAGCGAGTCAGGAGCTCCAGACACACAGGTGATTCACAGGGGCCTATGAGAGGAGAGGGAAAGGAACAATAGCTCCCCCAAGGGGCTGAAAAGAAATTCCTTGGGAGGAGCGGAGAAGGGATGGGTGGGAAGGAAAGGGTCTGACTAGTGGCCTGAAGTAGGATCCCAGAAGGAGGAAGGGTGAGGAGCTGAGTAACCAGGGGGTTCTGACTGAGGGAGACTTCCTAGGTGGGGAATCCCCTGATCATGCTTACGAGGACCACAGCTCCAGAAAACATAGAACCAGAGTACAGAAAAACCAATGAGCAGGCCCAAAAGCAGGAGAGTGATCAGCGCCCTCCTGGTCATTGCCCTGTGTCGGCTCCATTCAGCAGGCTGTCCCTCCTCTGCAGAGACCTGTGAGAAGAACCAGGGGATGAAAAAGGTTCCCTTGCACAGAGAGATTTCTGCATGTGCTCCGTTAAACCCAGACTTCTTTAGAACCCAGGGAGATGAGGGAGCCACCTCTCTTGAGGACGGATCACCCAGTGTGGGCATGCGTGGCTCTTTACAACTAGACGACATGATCCTGATGTCATGAAAAAAGCCACTTACGCCAGGCACCTGTGGCTCACACCTGTAATCCTAGCTACTCAGGAGGCTGAGATCTGAGGACAAAGGTTCAAAGCCAGCCCGGGCAGGAAAGTAGTCCGTGAGACTCTTATCTCCAATGAACCACCAGA